GCTGTGTTCGAGAGGTGCTCTCGCAGCCTGTGTGCTTGCCTTGTGCTGTAAAACGAGGAGAAAATGGCACGAAAGAGGAACAAATATTTGTAGGCCTGAAAGTCGCTTTGTGCGTCTGTTTGCTCGGAGATGTTATGCTGAGGTAGGCTGGAAATTGTTAGTGTTTTGCTACAGCACGGTGCGATGTCAGGCGCGTGGTTGTAGCGTGTACACGTTTTCTGTATACCGGGTTTTAAACCTGTGGTACTTGCCTTTCAGTATGCTCTGAGACATACTTTTTTTTCCACGTGCAGACGTGTGGTGCGCAAATCCATTGCCAGAGTCCTAACCGTTATCAACCAGACCCAGAAGGAGAACTTGAGGAAGTTTTACAAGGTAAGCCCAAACATCTTGCATAGTAGTCTTCTTTTTCTTACTGTTTTCAAATACATAATTTGCAGGCAGGGACTGATTTTGTGGATTGTTACTTAAAAAACCCAAGATAAAAATACTCATTTATGTTCGGTTCTAAAGTTCTTTAGTCATGGTTCCTTTTTAAATATTATTGCAAAACTACCCTGAATTCTGCAAGCTCGGTGCGAATTTGCTTTTGCCAGGAGAGTTTTCTGGGCAGCATCACTTCTCTGCGGGGTAGTATACTTTCTAGAAGATGCAGTTTCCAGACATACAGATACTCTCCTAAATTTCAATCATATTGCAGGTGACCAAGGAATTCTTTATCTCAATAAGTTTTTCCAATTTTTACAATATTACTTCTTGGGGTTTGAATTATATAGAATAGGAAAAAAAGAACTTTACCAGAGGTGTTGGATAAGTGGGACTTGTAAGATTAAGCATTACTTAAACATGAGTCGAAGCCAGTACAGCTGGTACGAAAGTTGGAATCGACTCATGTTTCCCAGTGGAGAGAAGTTCTCTTAAACTTCTAGACTGTAACGATAGTCCCAATAAAAAGAAGCGTAAAGCACTGCTGCTGATGTTGTTCTCGCAGGCAGGTCGGCTCGCTCTGAGCTTGTGCACCTGATTGCTACCTTGCAGTCTCTCAAACTCAACTTGTCCTGTATTTCTGCAAATAGGGCAAAAAGTATAAGCCTCTCGATCTGCGGCCGAAGAAGACTCGTGCCATGCGACGCAGATTAAATAAACATGAAGAAAATCTGAAGACCAAAAAACAGCAGCGAAAAGAACGTTTGTACCCTGTCCGGAAATACGCCATCAAGGCATAAAACTGCAGTGTGCCGAAAGTTCTTAATTATATTGGCTGAGTACGTCTCATTAAATAGAATTTTGTTTGGAAGCTGTCACTGGTGGTTTTTTTTAGTAGTGGTGGGTTAAAGAAGCGAACAGCTTTATGAAGAGAAATCAGAGGATTCACAGAAAGTTTATTTGAACTTTTATTGCTAATGAAAATACTAACATAACTTGCAGTTTAGGATTATTTTTCTCTTTGAGGAACGGGCAGACGAGTACAGATCTGCGAAGCTGGGGTTGCACTTAACATGTAAGAAGTATTTAACTTGAGATTGACGTAAAACGGAAACTGCACGTGGATGTTTACCGTGTGAATAAGTTGGTATTCACCACTTCAGTAGCTTGAGAGTAAGTGTTTGAAGTTTTTGTCTTGTGCCGGTGTTTTAAGTGTTACAGAGATGAACTAATTTGCTGAGGTGTTTTAGTGGACTTCACTGAAACTGAAGAATTCCGTCAGCACTTGTTTCGGATCTCTGCGCAACTCGTTGTAGCGCCAAAGAATCCCCGTCCGTCCCCGGTTCAGGCGGATGCCGCAGGCAGTGGTTTGCCCGGCTGAGCCGCCCGGCCCTGCCGGCAGACGGCTTCAGGCGGGCGCCTCACAGGTGGCTGGTCGCCAGTCCGACCACCGCTGCCTGGAGCTGCAGCGAGGGCTGGCCAGAGGGCTGCTGCAGCCGCCTTCCCAGGAGGCCTCTTCAGTGTCGGTCAGGAAGCTGGGTTCCGGCATCGTCCTCCAGATTTGTTCCCGCTTGCAGCCGATTTAATCTTGGCAAGCAGCTCCTGGAAGTAAGAGGGTGCTCTCCGGGGTGAAGGTGAAGGCACCGTCCAGCATCGCCTGCCAGCAGAGGTGCGTTTCGGATGCAGGGTGTTTGGTCTGTCGGTGCCTGGCTGCGCAGGGGGCCTGCGGCAGGACTGCAGGGGCGCTTGCATCCACCCGCACAAGCTGCAACGCTGCCTGCTGTGAAGCCTGCAGGCTGACGCTGCGCTCACCCTGGGAGTTACCCGTGTAAAGAGGGTGTCCTAGTGGCACGCAGCTTACTTCTTTTGGATGAGGATAGTCCAACCAGGCTGGTGTTAGCATACAGCGTTGCGTGCTGTGGGATGGGAAGAGAGGAAGCTCAGCTCCAGTTGTGTTAGGAAAATGTAGGGAATACGATATTCAGGCCAAGTGTTCTTCTTGTGTGCGTGTGAAGACTGATTGAGGCCCAGTAAAATCGGGGAAACCAGAGTTGAGAAAAGCTGAACTAGAAGATTGTTGCCTCTAAAGTTTCAAGGCACCCCCTGGTCTCACAGTTCCACGCTTTCACCCCTGAAGCACAGAACTAGTTAAATCGTTCGACTTTCTGTCCCCCACGGAGTTCTTTGGAACTTGGGGATGGAGTTGCGATTCCAAAAGCCTTTTTTGGTTCTGATGTAAGGAAGAGTTACGCAGTGCTGCTCGAGCATTAGTGATGCAGCAGTCATGGTTTGTGTTAGTGTAGCTAATGCATTCTAACACAAAAAATTCTCTACCCGTTAGGGAGTACTTGGATGGGATCCAGATTCTGTTTAGGAAAAATCTTAATTCTGCTTGCTGAACTTAGCATAGATCTGAAGGATTTTTAAGCCTCAAACAAGTTTTAACCAGAGAGAGGTCTAATTATGTGTGGTAAAGTGATTTCCCATATGTTGACCTATTACGAGGGATAGCTTTACGGTGATGCTAATACTGGCTGTGCGATAGCTTTGTCAGGAGCTTAGTGCGGACCCAAACACGATACGTTTGGCGGCGAAGGAGACCCAGCCTGGCGCAGCTCTGGGCCCAGCTCTGCATGGATCCAGGCTGCTGAAACGTGCCGTAAGATGGAGTGCTGCGTGTGGGAACTGGCTCCTTTGGCTCATGTTCGTATTGCCATAAAGGCAGGCAGGGTTACAAAATGCGGTGCGTTACCGTCTCTGAATACCCTGCAGTGGCCAGCAGCAAGCCGCTCCTGGAGAAGCACATGCTTTTCACCCAGCACGCGTGGCCCTCCGGAAGAAGGAGCGCACCTCTACGAGGATCCCAGATCCGCACACTCCTGTCCCAGGAGGCTGATGCCTGAAAGAGGCGAGGGAGAGGCTGGGCCCCTGTGCTGGGAATCGGGCAGGCTGGGGCAGGCTGCTTCTGTCAGATCGTGCCCGGCTGCCTTTGGGCTTCTCTTTTGGAGAGGTGTGGTGTACCCCCGTGCTCCTCCGGCAGCGCGTCTGAGAGGAGCCTGATGGCTCTTGCCAGCATTCCTGATGCGGAAAAGCAAACATGGGTAATGTTGCCCTGATGGCCTTCCAGGGTCTGCTCCTGGGTGGCGTGAGCTGTGTGTTGGCTTGACAATGAAGACGGGAAGAAGGTGGATGCGCGGCAGAGCCTCTGATGACATCGGAGTGCACTTCAGGTGAAATGGCTGTCGCCTTCCACCCCCAGCCATGAGAGCAGCAGCACTGCCTAGAGAGGATCTTCTCTCTAAAAGATCCAACGGTGATACGGATCACTAACATGCCATTTACTAGTCAGTAACAGGAGGGGGAAAAAAAAGAAAAAACCCAAACTGATTACCAGGCACTGAGCATCCAAGGAGAAGTCACAGGTTTGGATAGCATCATCGTGCCCGGAGAAGACTAAACGTGCCCGAACTGCAGAGAGGAAACAAAAACCAGAAGCAAGCTGATACTCTGAACATCCCGAAGTGACAGCCGGGAGGGTTTTGCTGGTATTTGTGTGTCTACAGTTCTACAAGGCGCAGTTACAGAGGTGGAGTAATTCAGGTCGGAAGGCTCCTCTGGAGGTCTCTGGTGCAACTGCCTGCTCGGAGCGAGGCTACCTTTGAAGGTAAATCAGTTCGTACAACTTCTCAGGTATCTAACGGGGGTTTCAGTTACAATCTGCTGTATTTTCAAAGCTTTCCTATGCACCCTTGTGAATGGAGAACAAAACAGGGTGCTCAGCTCGGTGCCGCCTCGGCCTGTCCTGCAGCGCGGCGCTGGGCTGGGGCGCAGCCTTTGCTGCCCAGGGCACGCTTTGCTTCTGCCTCCTGCACACAGAGGGTGGTTGTGCAAAGTGTGGAACTGCTCCCTCGGGAGAGGGGACTCTGGCGCAGCGCTCTGCCGTCGGGAGGGGGAGTAGGTGACCTGCCAGATGCTCGGCTGGGAAGCCAGGCCTGCGCCCAGAAGCCATCCCCACGCTGAAGCAGGAGTTGATGCGGGAGAACAGCTCAAGCTTCGGTTTGTGCGCAGTCCACACCAGGTATTTAAGGAGGTAAATGGGTTTCTGGCACCACGCTAAATCCTGGGGCTGAGTCACTCCATCCACCCATAACAGGGTGGCAAAACCAAACAGTCCAGCCCTTTCATCAGAATTACCTTGTGCTGTTACAGAAGACATCCCATGGACAAGCAGCCCTTTAAATGACCGGGAGCAACATACTGATCGACTGAATGGATGCAGAGGTGAGGTGAGGGGCTCTAGCGCAAGCTTCCTCCAGCGCACAGGTGGAGAAGACGTTTCTTACTCCTGTGAGAGCAAGGTGGATGCCTGTCCTGGCCTGCGTCGCCAGCTCCGCAGGGCAGTCAGCGGTCTGTGCCGGTTCCCGCTTTACCTGCTAGCCCCAGGGGACGGCCGTGTGGTCCCAGCTCCCGGGCAGAAGTTGCTGCTGCAAAACAGCTGGCTGCAAACTGGCTGCAAATGGGGGGGGAGGAGAGCAAAAACAACCAAGAGCAGAAAACTAAGGTAAATGCCCTGGCCCACAGCCTGCGCCCATGCTGGTGCCACCCTGTCTCAGCGCTGCCGGCTGTGCTCGGGGGGGGGTATGTGGAGGAGTACCTGTGCGGCCACGGGGCTGCTCTGGCCTGAGCGTGGTGGGGAGGGAGAACCCCCAGCAAAGGGCAAAGCCCCCCCAGAGCACCCCAGGGCTGCGCCGCCTTCACAGGGACCAGGCAGTACTGCAGGCGGTATGGGCTGTCCCCCTTCGGCATGGCGCTGCCTGGGCGTGACGGAGGGGTGCTTGGAGCCCCTCTCCTGGGGGATGCCGCTGCTCTCCTGCGCTGACCCCGCGCAGCTGCCGACGCCGGCCCTGGGTTTAGCACTGGTGTTTGCAGAGCGTCAGGGCCTCCAAGGCTCAAACTGTTTATTTTTTCCTTGTAACTGAAGATGTCCCTCGGCATTAGAGCAGGCTTCCCAGGGAAAGCTGTTCTTCAGCAAATAAATAATTTCCAGGGCGGGGATGAGGAAGGAGGAACAGCTGCCGACTGACTGCGGGGCACGGCCCAGGGCTGATGCCACTGCGAAGGGAGCCCTGGCTGCGTGCCCT